AAGCGAAGGAAAGCGAGGAAAAGAGGGAAAATTCAAACGAACTAAAAACGAACAATTGCTTTACGCCGAATTGCCGCTATTTCAAAGTGAAAGTAAAATGCGCACACTGCTTTTACAAGCTATTTAAAAGCGAAGGAAAGCTAGGAAAAGAGGGAACGCCCCCGCCCCCGCGGTGATACCGGTGTTGTCACACGTCGATTAACCGGTGGGAAAATTTCCTCACCGTCACAACCCTAATGTATACTATAAATTAAAAGACATTTCTTGTAAATGCATAGCACAGTAATGGAGGCAGCAACATATGATAGATAGGACAGAACAAAAAGGCTATCAATAATCTTTTATTGCGCAAAAGTATTATAATACAAAAGGCTCAGTACAGAGCGGCACAAAGAGCTTATGCGCATCCCATGCACAGAATGTTGCACTTAAAGCAACACGGAGTCACAGCGCTCTGAATAGAAAAGTTCAAAGCACAAAGAGAAGAGATACTGATGTGTAGTATATTATATCTGTGCGATAGTTTATTGAGCCTTTTCTTTTAACAGTTTTAAACTTCAGTTTACATTTAGTCATTTAGCAGATGCTTTTATCCAAAGGACAATGGAAGCAATCAAAATCAACAAAACTGTGCGCTCTTGGAGAGAGTTTCGTCGTCTTGACTGTCATAACTGAACACGTCACGCAGTTTGAATGCTGAATGGAGGATGACAGACAGCCGCAGCTTAGAGAAGAGTTTACGTGAATTTGAATTTAATGACTTAAATATTCATCTGTACCTCACATTAAACAATGGAACATCTTTAGAACACTTGGAATATAGTGCACGAGAACTTTATGGTGCTTTATAATGTTTTTTTGTTTAGTTTTTTGCCTTTTGTGGGGCTTATCAATAACACAGAATGGTATACGCAGAATATTGGATTTGGATCGGTCTCGTCTGACCAATACCCGATCCGGCAGAAAATGCCAGTATCAGAGCTGATACCGATACCGAGTATAGGATCTGTGCATCCCTAACACTGACTGATCGGAAAAGTACTAATCAAACTTTGTCTCGGATAATATTTTCAGGTGAATACATTTCAGTGCATCACTAACAAAGAATTTTGCTCTTGACAATTTAGCACACACAATTTTAGCACGCATGAACATCAAAACAAATAATGTCAGCACTTATTGTATTTAAAAGGATGTTTTGACGGCAAAAGAGTGAATGTTTGAATGTGATCTATTTAAAAACAGTGTCAGTTCACTAGTCTGCTGTTTTATCAGTTTTTCCATTGATCCTGCTTTAGCCTTTTTTTTGGCACGTCTATTTGTGAAACAAAAATAGATCAAATATCTGCCCATATTGTGTTTGAAATGTCAGTTACTTAATATGAATCCACGCAGGGCTCTCAGTAACATTAAGTCGATTTCTCCTGCGGTTAACTCTTCCAGTGCCTAGAGTAATGCCAATCTGTTCCTGCTGAGAAATGTTCCATCCTATGACACGCACACGCAGATGCAGAGTCTGTTCACACGCAACCGGGCCAAACCAACACACGATACCAATAAACAAACCTACAGGCCTGAGAGGATGTCAGTCGAGGGGTTTAATGTCTCACCGTCTCCCCTGCTAGTTTCTCCAGTTGTTGGATGTACGGGGTGATCAGAGAGTGAAGGTTCCTCAAGATCTCCTCCACCGGCAGCGCGGACAACAGAAAGCCCAGAGCCTGCATCAACCACATACACTGACTCGTCTAGAGAGAAAGAGATTGAAAAGACGAACAGATTTAACGGTGTCATAACTAGGCGAGACACATTTTCAGCTTCAAATAATGTTTTTGCCCTCAATGAAAGCAAAAAAACTAGGGATGCACCGATACCACTTTTTCCAGTACTCGCCCGATACCGATACTTTTATTTTTGGTACTTGCCGATACCAATATTTTTATTGCATTTGTACATTTTTTAAATATTGGGTACAGAAACCAAAAATATGCAAAGTGCCAAAAATCACAGCCGAAGAGAACATATTTGATGTTTAATAAACAATTATGCCCAGCTATCTGTAGAATCTTTAAAATCCCATTAAAAACCCTTTCTATGAAAAACCCACACCAGTAAATGTGTAATAATGTGTTTTACACTTCAATTTATACTGTACATATATACTATGGGTTTACAACTTTTTATGGACTCGATTTCAGACCAATAAGATTTCACTGCATAAGTGTAAACTTTATATCACAAAGATGTGGTCGAGAGGTGGTTGAATAAAAAAAAAAAAACTAATTTTGTAATGATGTGCACTAATGAATTGTGCAAAATGACACCATTAATGTATTACAAAAGTAAATATGATTGTATTTTTGTTTCATTTAGATTTTAACAGAAAGGAAAAGACAAATAATTAGACTTTTTTTGTGTGTTACACCTAATCAGGATACTATGCAAAGTGACTTAAATTGAAATTATTTCATAAACAAAATTATTACCATTTACAGCTCTATAAAAATTGCCTTTGTTTGAGCAAAAACAAATGGGTTTATTCATAACACAAACTCACCTTATGGATCTGTTTAATAAGTACTTCCTAGAAAAAAAATGGAAAAAGACAAACATTCAAAGGTGAAAAACTGTAAATTTGTCCCATAAGTGTCAGTATCATCATTAGAGCGTGTAATACCTGTGAAACAGCGACTATATTGGCGGCGTATGGGGGCAGGTCGTATTTGCACTCTCTGCAGATCTTCTTTAGCGTGGAGACGCTGGAAACAGACAGGTCTGGATTGCCCAACGCCTGCAAAACCAGCGGAAGAACGCTGCTCAACATCACCGGATGATCCGCCAACCACTCTGCCAACGCTCCTACAGGGAGAGACGTAATGGGTAAATATCTGGCTGGAACACAAAGCTGGGTATCTGCGTGGGAAAGTAATTGTGTGTAATTGTCTGGCCTGGACTAAAATGTGTGAAAACAGCCCAAATTGCTTGAGATGATAAATGACAATTTCCTAACACATAGAAATGCAGTAGCCCCTCACTGCAGAACACAAGATCCAGGTTGGATCCACATCTAGGGGGTGGAGATTGGTAGGTTTAGGTATATGTAAGGTGGGAGGAGTTGGATCTGGATCCAACCACGCCACCTGGAACTTGTGTTCTGCAGTGAGGACCATCTCTAGAAATGAGTGTTTTTAATGCTATAGGAGCACCAGTATGCGAGCACACACCGATTGTGAACATGACCGTGTCAGCCAGCTGGACGTTGTTTATGTTGATTCTTGGAATGAGACCGATGAGTCCTGGGATGACGTCGGAATAGTTCACATCTATCGTTTCGGCGATGGACTGGAATCCGTACAACAGCGCTTCCGTGTGCTGGAATAAAAAATTTACACAAAATCCTGTTAAAAGGCACCATATGTAGGTCTGCAAGATTTGGTTAAAAAAATCTAACAGCATTTTTTCCTGATAAAAATCGAAAATGCAACTTATAATTTATATATTAATATTGTATTTTTAAATTAATATTATTATTCAAATTCAATTAATTTCAAATATATAAATATATCAATTTATATAATCATAATGATATAATTAGTATATAGAATTATAATTTTTGCAGTTTGTTTTTAGTTCTGCACAATTTTTATGCAATTATATAAAATTTTGTGATTACATCAATGTAACTGTAAAATAATTTAAAATATATATTTCACAGTAATAAAAAACAAACAAGTATTTAAGAACAGTAAAATAATTATATTATTTTACAGTACAACTATTTATAATAATATTTAAATAATCTATTACAGTATTAATGAATTAACAGATTTAATAATATTATAAATTATAAATATATAATAATTATATAAATTAATATATTTATATATTTTGAATGAATATATAAATATTAATATTTGTATATTTAGTTTTATATAATTTTTTGTTCAAAATAAAAATAAAATAAAAAATTATGTGAATAAATTAATAATCTATTAATTCTTCATTTCCAAATGTTTAACCAGCAAGCTTTTTTTTGGCGAAAGACTGCAGGAAGCCATTAAAGCTCTCATTTGCTGATTTTTCAAATGCATGCTGATTTTTCAAATGCATCTTAGAAGCGACTCAAAATCATGGCAGAAGCAGAGATGATTTTGTGTAGAAGAGTATTTACTACAAACCAAGTTGTTCTGAGATGCTGAAAACACCAGATCATGAGCTGCTCGTGTGTAGATGAACACAGTGCCACCTAGACTTGTGCCGGTATTCGGTAATGCGATATATCACGTTAATGAATATGCACGATATTGTTATCGTGGGCACTTCTAAATACCGTGAATAATTATATATTACAAATTATTCAGAATTTTGAATGCATTTTAAGAATACTTTTCCCATAAATTGGTCAAAAAGCACACAACACCGCTGTATGCTGCGTGAAAGACGCATGCGCACTCTGATGTAAACAAGTGCGGACGGTATTGCTTTATTGCATTTAAATGTTCAGTTATTTTTGTTATAAGAAAAAAGTTATTAAACCTGTTATACTGTATTATGACAGCACTTTTTTAAAACTTAATTTCAATATTGTGATAATACCGTATACCGTAATAAAAGCATTAGCAATTAATCGCAACATGAAAATTTGATACCGGCATATCCCTAGTGCCACCCCTTCACTATGAAACATGCAGCGCTTGTATTTATTTAATGAAAACCTTTGAGACTTGATAATCGCACCAAGCCATTATTGTGATTTTGGTTTTATCAATCATGCAGTCCTAGCCTCAAAAGTCTGCCCTTTTGCTTCAAATGTTTAATGACCCAGCAAAACCAATGAAAACTGAAGACTAAATCCATTGTTTTCTGACCTGCCATGTTGTTGTTGGCTCTGTATTGGTGAGGACTCGTCCCAGTTTGTCGTACAGGTTACTGAGTAATTCGGCTCCCAGCATCTCGTAGACGTACATCAGTGTGTCAGATACATCCACTCTAAAAGAGCCAAACAGAAATGCGTCGTATTATCAACCCTTCACTCCTTGTAGCACGAACCCTTTGTGTTGTTATTAGTTTTATTTTCAAAGACAATGCCCCCAACACACACACATAATTAATAAAGAATTAACATTTTATTATATTAAATACTTTAAATATAAAATATATATTTAATTTACAATTTAAAAAATAGTATTTCAATATTTAATATTTAATTTTGCTCATTGCTAACAAGAACAGCAACTTTGTCTGCTATGCCACTTCAGCAAATCCAACATGAAACTGCTGAGTGTAGAAGAAAATGTTACAACAGGCCCATGATAATGTGAATCACACACACACACACACACACACACACCAGACCTGTAGATCCTGAACTGCTCCTTCTCGTCTGATGACCAGGAAGCATACTCCTCATCCGTAGGGAACTGCGCTTTGTGCAGCAGAACGTCTACGAGCTGGAAATACACAGGCCTGTAGACCTGCAGATAAATGGCCTGTTTCTCTGCCTCAAACGACATGATGTCATCCTGAAACACACAAGCAATCATCAACAAATATACACTACACTACTGCTGAAGTAAGGGAGAATACAGTCACTGGGTCAGTATCACAAAATAAACCCTGTGTTAAGCCTCGTTCACACCAAGAACGATAACTATAAAGATAACGATAAAGATATAGATCTAAAAATCGTTCTTAAAGGGGTCCTATTATGCTTTTTCACTTTTTTAATTTTAGTCAGTGTGTAGTGTGTATGTTTGGGCATTAAAAAGATCTAGAAAGTTACAGGAGAGAAAGGTATTTTAATAATGTAAATTATGTGAAAAATAATGTGTTTTTCGAACCACCAAGCATGAGAGCATGTTCTAGTACACCCCCAAAACAAAATCAAGACTTTGTAAAAGAACATAATAGGACCCCTTTAATATTAAAGAATAGCACAGTCCACACCACAACCATAACGATAAAGGCACAGAGAAACGATATTGTTGGAAACATTTTCAGAATTTTTATTTTTTAGATCCGTGCATGAGGTCTTAAAGAGACAGCAACCTAAATAAACCTGCTGCTGTCTGCCATTAATGCTTATTTATACATTAAAGACTATCCAAAGTTATTTTAAAGTTGAATAGATAATTCAGTTTCTGTGGTATTTCTGTACCTGAATATTATTGTTATACCGACGTGAAAATCAAAGCACAGTTAATTTAAGTTGTATCTTATTGTATTTATTTGGCCATTGCTTGTCATTTATTTGTTCTTATTTTATTACTGACTGTTTACTTGTCTTTTATAGTTAAAATAAATAGTTTAAAATCTAAGTTCTTTTTAAATACCTTCCTCATAATATAAATATGAATCAACAACATTATAAATTATAACATAAATACACTGTGTGATGAAACGTTTTTAGATTAAATGATTTTAGTTTAAAAATACATCTAAAAAATACCCCAACTCCACCCCTCAAATTAAAAAATCACCACATAAGAGTCACCTAAAGCATGCAACTTGATTAAGTTGAAGTTGAAATCACACCGGTAGGATAGTGGTAGGTTTGTACTAAAAATTATTATCGCTAATACTTCATTTCTTAATGGAGAAACAATATAAGTGTCCATAATCCAATAGCTTCTTTCAATTCCGTACAGCGGCAAAAAAAACATACACATAAAATATTCAGCTAATGCAGACTGGAAAGCACGCGCAAGGACACAAGCAAAGGACATTCCTGAATATTCAACACGTGACACACACTGCAGTAAACACACAGCACAGGTGTATATTCAGATACAGTTCAATGTCTCTAACAGAGACTCTCCATTACTGCTGGAGATAAAGATTAACACAACAAACCTCCACACACAATACAAACCTTTCAGGCCTGTTTCTAAGATCAATCAGCATGTTTACTGATGCTAAAAGTGTCCTATACATAAGACAGCAGCCTGTGTGTGTTAAGACGGGTTTAAGATGTCAACTGCTCACCTGTAGTGTGTACCAGAAGGTGAGCGTGAGAGAGCTGGTGGTCTCGTTGACGGGGTAGTGACCAGGGATGCCCGTGCAGAACATGATCATATTCACCAGAGCCAGAAAACTCTGCCAGTGCTCCACCTGCTCCAACAGAGCTCTGAGAGAGAAGAGCAGAACAGACCTTCATCACACAGGAACACAATCACCAGCACTACATCATATTTGGAGAATATTTGTTACTAGGGATACAAAATATGTGACTCTGGACCACAAAACCAGTCTTAAGTAGCACGGGTATATTTGTAGCAACAGCCAAAAATACATTGTATGGGTCAAAATTATAGATTTTTCTTTTATGCCAAAAATCATTAGGATATTAAGTAAAGATCATGTTCCATGAAGATATTTTGTAAATTTCCTACCGTAAGTATATTAAAACTTAATTTCTGATTAGTAATATGCATTGCTAAGTACTTCATTCTGACAACTTTAAAGGTGATTTTCTCAATATTTAGATTTTTTTGCACCCTCAAGATTCCAGATTTTCAAATAGTTGTATCTCAGCCAAATATTGTCCTATCCTAACAAACCATACATCAATGGAAAGCTTATTTATTCAGCTTTCAGATGATGCATACATCTCAATTTCGAAAAATTGACACTTATGACTGGTTTTGTGGTCCAGGGTCACATATATTGACGACATTTACATTTAAGCATTTAGTAGATGCATTTATCCAAAGTGACTTATAAATGAGGAACAAAAGCAATTTGTCAATGAGCCAACAATATTCATAATATATAAGGCCAGGTTTAGTTGACAACTAAACTAGGAAGCAAACTAGACAAGAGGAGAAATGCAAAGAAGAAAATTGGTGAGCACAAAAAAAAAAAAATGAATGCATGAATGAATGAATGAATTAATTAATGAATGAATGAATGAAAAACTGATTTACAGCCAATATTATACATTTGGGGTCTATAAGTTTTTTTTTTTTTTAAATGAATACTTTTATTCAGGAAGGATGCATTAAATTGGTCAAAATGACAGTACAATCATTTATAATGTTACAAAAGATTTATTTTTCAAATAAATGTTGTTCTTTGAACTTATTCAAGAATCGCAAAAATATTCAGAAGAACAACTGTTTTCAACATTGATAATAATCAGAAATGTTGCAAATCAGCATATCTGAATGATTTCTGGAAGGATCATGTGACACTGAAGACTGGAGTAATGATGCTGAAAATTCAGTTTTGTATCACAGGAATAAATTACATTTTAACATGTATTTAAATAGAAAACATTTATTTTAAACTGTACTATTTTAGAATATTACTGTTTTTACTGTATTTTCAGATGAGAAAAGCCCTCCTTTATCTTTTGTTGTTGACGTCAAATGTGGTGCACTCCTGTCAGCGTCACATGACAGGGAATCTGAGAGAAACATCAGGAATTGTCATTTAGTCTGACACCTGCTTCCATTCTTAGTTTGAGAGTGTGACAGAGCACCGACGAATGGAGTGAGATTTCAGCAGAAACTGCCTGTAGGTGTAACATGCCTGACCAAAATCAAGTCTGAATCGGCTACTGGGACACTGCCTTAGATATAACCCTGAGCCGAGTATCATCTGCTCACTCAGCAAGAGAACATCCACAGAGACCAGAAGCTTTCAAAGTGAAAATCTCACCATAATTACTACAACAGCATCCCTCCAGAGACTCGTACATGCACACATCTCACACAGAGTTCACAATTACTGATCAGTATATATCTCTGTTTGTACCTTGAATGATTCTCTCCCAGAGAGACAGCGATTCGACAGATGCCATGTGACGTTTCCATGTCTCCATTCTGTATGGCGTCTCGTAACTGTTCCTGTAGCTGCAACACCTGCGGCACCAACTTCAGGAGAGTGTTCACGTACCTGAAACACACGGACACAATGTTCAGGACTCAACACGAAACAACATTAGCATTAGCAACACATTTAGCTTTTGTAATGTGAAATAAACTTCACTTCCTGTAGCTATTCTAACTAGTTTTTAGAAATAAAGACTGAAAGACTTATTGGAAGATTAATTGTGGTGACATTCAAAACCGTTTAAACCCCAAGGCTTGTTGGTCACAGACTTATTTTCTGCAATTATCCAAAAGCTAACAGAAAAATTGTTGGTGAGGGAACCAGGGTGATTCTAACTTCCAAGTTGGCCTACAAAAATACGTCATCACTGCAGTGCTCTATGTGTGATATGTATATTTTGAATGCACTGCAATTTGCTTTGGATAAAAGTGTCGGCCAAATTCATAAATGTAGATGCCATATTCAACAAGGAAAAATATGGTGAAAAAAGGATGGTGAAAAGTGGGCAGCACAGGTGATATTAGCTGAAAAGGAAAGCCATTTCAAAGGTGGATTACATTTTTTGATGCTTTTTGATTATTTTTTTCCCTGTAAAATAAGGTGCAATGAATTAGTGCTGGGCGGTATACCGGTTCATACCGAATACTGGTGTTTATTTTTGTTATGATATTAATTTTTTAAATACCGCAATATGTCGCTTAAACATCGTTCGGAACGCGACACTGTTTGAAAGGGGTCCCTGCAGTATTTCCTCTCTCAATCAGTAGAAAATATGGTTAACACCCGGTCATGCATGAAAAAAAAATACCGTCATGTACCGTGAAACCGGTATAATTTTGAAAAATACCGTGATATACATTTTTTGTCATACCGCCCAGCACTACAATGAATGGTCCATTCACAATAGGACCAGGAATGTGTATTAAGAGAGTAAATGGTCAAATTTGGGACAACTTTTTCTTACAAACACAGATTTTTGCTTCACATGACATGAACTGATGGACTGGAGTGGTGTGGATTACTTGTGGATTATTGAGACGTTTTTATCAGCTGTTTGGACTCTCATTCTGACGGCACCCATTCACAGCAGAGGATCAATTGGTTAGCAAGTGATGGAATGCTACATTTCTCCAAATCTGTTCCCATGAAGAAACAAACTCATCTAAATCTGGTTGGCCTGAGGGTGAGTACATTTTCAGAAAATTTTCATTTTTAGGTGAACTCTTTAATCTAATCACTGCCCTTGATAACACACATACACTAAATGGAAGGTTTACCAGTGCAGTGATTTCACATGATGCAGTGGTTTTCAACTTGCTTGGCTAATTGACTTCTACACACATTCCCATACAAAAACACAGCAAACAACATTAGCTCTAATCTGCACAATGTAGTTTCTCTTCTCTTGAAATCATCACGCTTTCCTTCATTTGTCTACAGCTGTTACCTCATTCCCACATCAACTTCTGTCATGTTCCTCACTCCTGCTGCCATCTCAGCGTTTCTGGAACAATCTGTCCTCACACTCTCTCTCTCTCTCCCTGTCGCTCTCTGTCATCTCATCCTCGTTTTGGTGTCAACAGCAGGAAGGACACACGTTGTTAATGAGGAAATGTTAATGAGGAGCGGACAAAGAAAAAGTATGAACAGTAGCTCATTACGGGCTCATCACGGGCTTGTCTGAGGCTCAGCTCTCGACAGGCACATCAGAGTGCTTCATTAAAGCAATCGACAGAGGAAAATCTACACTGTTGCACCCTTAAATACTCCTCTATTAGGCTTTACTCAGATCGGTGGCAAAAAAAAAAAAAAGCTTTTTTTTTATTTTTTTTTTTAACATTTGACTCAAATTTCTCCAAATCTGTTCCCATGAAGAAACAAACTAATCTAAATCTTGTTGGCCTGAGGGTGAGTACATTTTCAGAAAATTTTCATTTTTAGGTGAACTCTTTAATCTAATCACTGCCCTTGATAACACACATACACTAAATGGAAGGTTTACCAGTGCAGTGATTTCACATGATGCAGTGGTTTTCAACTTGCTTGGCTAATTTACTTCTACACACATTCCCATACAAAAACACAGCAAACAACATTAGCTCTAATCTGCACAATGTAGTTTCTCTTCTCTTGAAATCATCACGCTTTCCTTCATTTGTCTACAGCTGTTACCTCATTCCCACATCAACTTCTGTCATGTTCCTCACTCCTGCTGCCATCTCAGCGTTTCTGGAACAATCTGTCCTCACACTCTCTCTCTCTCTCCCTGTCGCTCTCTGTCATCTCATCCTCGTTTTGGTGTCAACAGCAGGAAGGACACACGAGTGGAAATGTTAATGAGGAGCGGACAAAGAAAAAGTATGAACAGTAGCTCATTACGGGCTCATCACGGGCTTGTCAGAGGCTCAGCTCTCGACAGGCACATCAGAGTGCTTCATTAAAGCAATCGACAGAGGAAAATCTACACTGTTGCACCCTTAAATACTCCTCTATTAGGCTTTACTCAGATCGGTGGCAAAAAAAAAAAAAAGCTTTTTTTTTATTTTTTTTTTTAACATTTGACTCAAATCGGTTTAGTTTTATTTGTAGTAAAAAAAAAAGTAACTACTATAAAATAACATTTACACATCTATCTATGAGATGATATTTCAGAGATTGTGATGTAATATGATGATGATAAATTATAAAGGAATCTGTATGACATACCAGGGAGATGTTTCACAGTTCGGTAAGGTTTTAAATTGTTGTTTTTTTTTTGCAGTGCTGAAGGGAAAGAGATGCTGCCAAGAGCACACTAAACCACCCAGAAGAATTTTAAGGGGGTCATATCATGGAAAACACGATTTTTCTTGCTCTTTTCTTGAAATAAGATATTGATGTACTACAGTATGTAAACACACGATCTGTTCCAAAACCCAGTGAGTTGGCAGAATCTGAAAGCATCGCAGGCAATCAATGTGAAGGCTGTACCAAACAGCAGGCAGCAACCTTATGCTGCTTTCAGAGATACTAGATTCGGTCCAAATTATAATGCAGTATCGCATGCATCCTTCACAGGTGATGCAATCACACAATGCAACGTTTACTTTTTAAACATACTGATGTCAAACTCTACTGGAATCAATTATGAGTCAAGTCAAATCCTGCTCTCCATTATTGTATTAAATATTCATTATCTTCTGCCTGGCATTTTGACATTTCATGCCATGCAGCTTGATTTCAGTGCTAGACAAATTTCAAGTCAATGGAAACTTTGAATCAAGGCAAACTTGTTTCAACAATGACAGGAGGGAAAACAATAAAGAAATAGCGAATTTTTGGTGGAATAAACCCAAACAAATACACTACCATTCAAAAGTTCGGGGTCATTGATACTTCTATTCAACAAAGATGCATTAAACTGATAAAAAAAAATGTCATTTATAAATGTCACAAAAGAAAACAATATTTATCTATTTCATAAATAAATAATGTTCTTTCTATTCATCAAAGAATCTTGAAAAAATACATTACACTTTCCACAAAAACATGAAGCAGCACAACTGCTTTCAACACTGATTATAATATGAATAATAATGTTTTTTTTAAGCATATTAGAATGATTTCTGAAGGATCATGGGACAATAAGAATGGAGTAATGGTGCTGAAAATTCAGCTTTTCCATCATAGAATTTTTTTTTTTTTTTAAATAAACTAAGAAAACAATTATTTTTATTATTATAAAATTATAATAATATTTTTAATATAATATTTTATTATAACACAAATTATAATATTTAATAATATAATTATTATATATATTTTTTACTGTATTTTGATCAAATTAATGCTACCCTAAAGAGCATTGGTAAAATATATGTAATATAAAATATAGGTTATATTTTACTTATATATATATATATATATATATAAGTAAAAAAATAAATGTAGCAAAAAAAACAACAACAAAATTCTAAACTAACAAATACAAAACAGGTTGTTGGACAACTAGTAAATTAGTTATGACCCATGCCTATACGTATGACATGGCCTGTATAAAGCACAGCGTTTCTTTGCCGTGTGACCTTGTCCTTCCTGGTTTAATTGATCTAATGGCTGGTGAGGCAGTGTGTCTGGCGAGTGCATTTATTTATGAGTTCTGGTTTTAAGATGCTTTTACTAGAATAGGCTCTAAATAAATAAATAATCACATCAATGACACTCAAGGTCAAGGAGGGCTTTCAACACCATCAGGAAGATTCACGCAGCATGTCACTGCTAGTCACTGCACACCTGTTTGTGTCGGGATGCTCAATGTTGAGCTGACCACTGATCAGTCTCAAGCAAAATACATTAATTTTCAAATCAGACATCACTACTGCTCTCGTGCATGCTTCAAGATGATCTACTACGGCACAGTGTTTATTGAATAACCACTTAAATTTCTTCATATGACTTCACAATATGTTTAAACTGCTAGTCGGTGTTAAAAATAATAATCGCCGATTATATCATATGTCATAACCACAACATGCAGGCAGAGTTTCTCATCTGTGTTTGTGCCATCTTGTCTCTCAGACTAAAAAATTTGAGTTTGTTTCATCAGAGCGCAGATTTATTCTCACCTCAAACACTCTCGTGTGATATCTTACTGTGCTTCTACAGACACAGACGCTCCCTCTTTCCCTCTCCCTGTAATTACCCTCAAACACCAGGAGACAGATGAAATGAGTTGCCTGGCAACAGGATGCATTTGATCCAATGGCATCCTCCCGAGAGGCTTAATTGTAATGTGTTTAATCAGTGAGAGGAGGCGATGTGGTGATGGAGACAGAGGATGGCGAGAGAGGACGAGGCATGGGCATGATGGAGAAAAGGACAAAGGTGAAATGAATAACGAAAATCAATGGAGAATCATTTATATGACCTTTAAGAGCAGGTGACACACCGGCCGAACTGAATTCATAGCACCTCACGCTGGGATCTGGGTGTTTGAGAGCGAACTACAGACATCACGTTCAGTAGCAGATCACAATATGACAGCGCAGAGGAAAAACTCGCACACTAGCTGTCCATGCGTTTAC